CCCCGCCCTGCCGCAGCTCAGGCCGCAGGCGCCGAGGCGCACCTGGGGAAGCAGGGCTGAGGAGAGGTGGCCCCCAAGGCCCACGAGGGCGGCTGGGCGGGTGGGAGCCCAGGCGCGGGCTGTGCCCGCGATGTCGGGCCGTGCTGTTGACTCTCCCTGCGCGGGCGGGGCGTGGAACCGGCCGCGCCCCCGGCCCCCCGGCAGTTCCCCGGCGGCCGCCAGGTGGCGCTGCATCCTCACCAAATGCGCCCCAAGTGTGCGGCGCGGTGGGGGCTCGCTGCAGGGTGGGGGGTGCGCTGGGGGGCGGGGGGCGTCTGCCCTTCCAGCCCCACCCCCGCCTGAGCGTCCCGGACACCCTGCCACCTGCAGGATGCTCTGGCGCGTAGCCCCCAATCCTTATCCTCCCCACCTCCCCGGAAGGCTGTGCTCTTCCACCCATAGCCCCATCCGATCTGCCCTCTCCCTGCAGACCCTGCTCTGCCCGGTTCGCCCTGGGGCTTTCCTCGTGAAGGAAGCTCACAGGGAGGGACAGGGAGGGACAGGGAGGAACAGGGAGGAACAGGGAGCGACAGGGAGGAACAGGGAGGGACAGAGAGAGGGACAAGGGTAGACAGGGAGGGAGAGGGAGGGGGAGGGAGGGACATGAAGCCATGCTTTTTAGCTTTCAAAGTGCAAATCATTTTATGTATTTTTTGACGATTAAAAAAAAAAAGAAGAGAGGAGATGCCCCACAGCCCCAGCCAATTGTCTGAGACTCTGTGTGAGAACTGCTGAGATGCTCCCAGAGTCCTGTCCCTCAGAAACTGTATGAGCCTGTTAACACAATTACCACAGTCTGTGTGAAGGTGACATTATAATTATTACCGATATTAAGCAATCAGGATCCGTGGCTACCTGAACTAAATGAAACAGAAAAACTGAGAGAGAGTGTGTGTATCTGTGAGAGGGAGGAAGGGACAGAGAGAATCCTAAGCAGGCTCCACACCCAGCATGGAGCTCACCGTGGACCTCCATCTCGTGACCCTGAGATCATGACATGAGCGGAAATCAAGAGTTGGACGCTTACCTGACTGAGCCACCCAGGTGCTGGTGCTTGATGCTTTCTGATAGTAAATGAGAGAAAACCCAAGAAAAAAATGTTCATTGTGCATTAAATCATGTGTTTCTCCTGGAATCGAGGACACATGGCCTTGACCCAATTAACATGGAAAACGAGCTTCTCTACACCACAACGTACTCCTGTCAGAACTGACATGCTGTGTTGGACAATACGGCTGGATACAGTGTGGAATGAAAAAAAAAGAATAGGGGGCAGAATTTCAGCGGTAAGTACAGAGCCTTCCGATCAGACTGTACTCTGCCTACAAAGCCCCAGGAGGGCACTCCACATGGGGAGACTTCCATGGTCTACAGCTGCAAATGCTGTCCTTACTGGCCATGCTCAAGAATACAAATGGCTGAGAAGAAGCTGCAGAAACCTCCGGTGTAACTCCCTGCCAGCCAGTCTCCCCTTTCACTGTTCAGGAGCTCCTATGACCTCTTTCAAGGACTAAACGAAATAACAGCTCCACATCGCTTTGTGAATGGTCACACGCAAGGCAAATTTAACTTGTTCTGCCTTGTGACAGGCCACCGCCAAGTGATCTCTGAAGGGCAAGATGAAACAAATTCTGTTTATATCATGATTTGCCTCCAGACCACTCGGGAATATTGTAAGCATCTGTACCTGTCACAACAAAGCCTTTTACAAGCACAGGAGATCTGTTTTAGAAGTTGTCAATTTTCTCACCAGAGAAGTGCTGTGTGGAACTTCAGGGGACATTAAGAAGAGGAAAGAAGGAAGAGTCACCACCCACAACCCCGAGATGCTTGCTTTTGCAGGTTTTCTGTGCCTGGGGCTGGGGGGGGCAGGGAGGACCAGCTCTGGCCACACCAAGCGCCCCGCCTGGTCTCCCCAGACCATGCACGCCCTTGTTGCCAACAGGGGGTGGCACGCACTGTCTGACTGATGTGATGTGGGGCCAGGGGAAAACGGCCAAGAAGGAATTCTTGAGACAATTTCAGTGCAAAAACGTGGTTTTATTAAAGCACGGGGACAGGATCCGTGGGCAGGAAGGGCTGCACTGGGGTTGGGAGGGGTGGCGATCTTATACTTTCAAGTTGGGAGGGGCAGAGATAAAAGACGTTTCCCAAAGGATTTTCATATGTTAAAGAAGACCCCCAGGATCCCGGAGGTCTGGCTATTGTCAGGCTAAGATGCTTTTTGCCTGTAGCAAAGCATTAGCGTTAGGCAGTTGGGAGTTCCCGGAGGAAGGTCACTCTGCCTGTCTCCCGCGTTTGTCAATGGGCTGCAGGTTGTAAGGACATTTAATTTTATCTACATTTCTTTTGCCTTTGTTCTCCTTGTCCAGCCTAAAGGCCGTCCTGCAGCTCGGGGAGGGTGGGTGAAGCGCCCTGAGCCCCGGGAGGTCGGGGAGGCTGCTTTGGGGGTGGGATGGGGTGGGGTGCAGAGGGGCTGTCCATTCTTGTGACCTTTCTTGGCAGACCCCAAAGAGGGGTGTGGCCTCCTTCTTGGAAGGCCTAGGAATGGGATGAGCGTTAGGGGAGCAGTTTCAGAGTTGGGATGCCCCAGGATCAGCCCCATCCTCCCAGCCCTAGGAAATAGCTGTGGGCCCCCGTGGGGCCCTCCATCTGTATGCCAGCAGGGAGAGGTGGGGACAGGCGGGAACAGGTGGCTAGCAGTGTCTGGGGCTCGTGATAAACAGCCCAGTCTAGACAGATGGGGAGCGTGGGGACCTCTGGCCAGGAACCCGCTGCTGCATTGTGGGGACACCAGCCTGAGCCCAAACAAGCCGGTGAGCGTCCTTGGTCCTGGAGGGACAGGGCTGTCACTGCGCTGGGCTCCCATCCTGCTGGCACCTCTCTAGCTGGGTGACCTCCAGCAAGTCACCTGACAGCCCAGAGCCCCAGTCTGCATAGGGGGTGGAGCAATGTCTCCTTCCAGATCTGATCCAGAGCAACAGAGGCAAGGGAGCTTGTCCTGGGGAAGGGCAACCCCTGGTACTGTCTGCCTGTCCTGTCCTTCAAGGCCAACAAATCCCACAGAGCTCCAGATGTCCCCAGCCAGCCCTGACCTCGGCATCCCGCCACGCCATGCCGCTCTTGGTATGTCCCACCCAGCCATCAGTGGGCACCATGGTCTCTGCTGTGCATCTGCCCTGGCTGAGCACTCAAGGTGACCACCCGGTCCACAGAGACCCCAGCTCCATCTCAGTACCTCGTGTCCTGCATCCTTAGTTGCTCACCTGTCCTTGTCCGTGCAGCTCGCTAGATGGTGAGCTCTGGAAGGCAGGGAACAGGTGACTTACTGCGGCCTCCCCTGTGCTGGGGGCTCAGACAGACCGGAGGAGGGGCTCAAGGAGCATTTGTTGAACGATGGACAGGTAGAAGGGTGAATGACATGGTCAAAGAATCGATGATATGGATGAAGTGGGGTACTGAACTGAATGGAATCAGACCCGGCTGATCCTGAGCTCTAGAACCTTCCCAGCCAGCCTGAGTACTGACCACTGACCCTAACCCTGAGCTGGATGTTGGTTACAGGAGGGCCCAGGCAGCTCCGTGCAGAGTCCAGCCACCCCAGCCCCTCAGCCCCCCTCAGCCACACTCTCCCCTTCCAGCCAACAGACATCGTTTGGACCAACTCCGAGCTGGGCATTGGACAGGAACCCAAGACTTGGATGCACCATAGTGTGGCCCCTGGCCCCACGGAGTTTGCGGTCTGGAGAAAGGACAGACATAAACATTGGTCAAAGATAGCATGGGAGTGAGGGTGTGCACTAAAGTGTGCAGACGCTTAGGGAGGTGCTCCAGTTTGCCCTTGACAGTCCCAGTTCACCCACATTGCCCTGGTGCCTTTAGCGTGTTCCTTTGTTCTCCCAAGCATCCCCGTGTGGATGACAAATCACCCGGTTGCCCTAGTGTGAGAGAAGCATGGAGGAGGGTCACATAGCCCCACTCAGAAAACAGGTGGGCTTCCAGGAGGAGGGGTATCTGTCTGAGTCTCACAGAGGTAGTGTGTGGGGTGAGGAGGAAAGGGCTGCCACGGGTGGAGGGAAGTAGGAGGCCAGAAACGCGCACCTGCTGTGAAGAAGAGAAAGACGGGGCCCTCTGTGGGAGGCTGCTAGCAGCCGGGCCCCGGGATGGGAACAGGTGTGTAGCAGACAGGGGACAGAGGACACCCCGGGGCAAGTGGGCACAGACACACGAGTCGCCTTCCTCCCAAGTCTGCCTTTCCTGTGGCTCATCTTGAATTACGTGTGGCTGGTCTGACACAGTGACCAAAGCTCCGTGGTTTTGTTTGGTTTGCTTTGGTTTTCCCAAACGGATATCCAGTCGTTCCAGCCACGTGTGTTGAAAAGATTTCCCTATTCTCATTGAATGACATTGGCGCCATAGTGTAAATCAGTCGGCCATACAGGGCGGGTCTATCCCTGGACTCCGTTTCCCTGCTCTACTTGTCTCCCTTCTGCCAACACCACCGTGTCCATGACTGTGGCCTGGTCGTACGTCATAAAGTCACGTGGCCCGAGTCCTACAACGCTCTATTTCTTCCTCGAGACTTGCACTTCTGCATACATTTTAGAAGCAGCCTGACAATGTCTTCAAAAGTCTATGGAAAATTTTACTGAGATTGCATTGAATCTGTTCAATTATTCTCTAAGACTCATGGACAATGGGCATCTTAACAATAGGGAGTTTTCCAATTACTGTGCACGGTTTACCCCACACACCGTTTATTTCAGTGTCCAGTTTCGGCCAGCTCTCTTTCGCCGTGGGTACCCTGTATGTGCTTTGTAACTGTTCCTAGGTACCTGAGGTTTCAAGATGCTATGTGGGATAACCTTTGGATTTCATTTTCCAATTGTCCGTTGACAGTTTATCATTTTTTTAATGTTGATCTTGATTTGTTAAATCATCTAACAGCTATGCTGCTGAATTGCTAAATTTGATTAGTTCTGACTAGTTCTAGTTGTCTCTTTGAAGATGACTTAGGATTTCCTGAGTACACAATCACGTCGTTTGCAAATGGAGATAGCCCTACTTCCTCTCTG